CCTCCACATCGGATGCATGGTACGCACGCACGCACACGTTTCGGAGGGTGCGCACGGTACGTCGCGCGTACGCACGCGGTCGCCGGTGGCCGAGGCCCTTGAAACCGCCTCGGTGGCCCGGTGCGAGGCGGTCGCTGAGTGGTGTCCGCCGATCCAATCGGTGGATGGAAGCCCCAAAAAGGCCCTATCGGCAGCCCTATAGGGATAAGATGCATAAGGTGGACTCTCCTTCTTTGGGATAAGATGGACTCATTCATCCCTCTCATCCCTCCAAACCTTAAGTTTTTGGTTGGAAGCGTTTGGAGATTGAGATCTGGCTGGAAGGTCTTATTGGTCGCAGTTGTTCTCTCCGCTGAGTGTCAATGGGCATGAAAAAGCATGCCGTTTTCTGTGAGATGGATCAATTGGTTCCAATTCAACTGGACATGGAAACTGGATGGAAAAAAAGGTCCTTATGATAGATGCCTAAGCGTTCCCCGCCGTCCCCCGCCGTCCAAGCCGACGTGATTCATCCCACTGTTTGCCGCAAGGCCGCAGACGCGCCAAACGGCCGCAGCTTTGGGAATGTGGGGTGCCTCACGCGACAAGAGAAGGGCTGCAACAGCATCCAGGCGGGGTGGTGAGGGCAGTCAAGATGGGAAGGGAAGCGGGAAGCATCACTCAATTAAAGAAGTACTTCCTATCTTTTTCGTATTCCAATGGTGAAGCAGTTTTGAGCATGAATCATCTTCCTCTACCAGGATATGCAGTTCCTCTAGTTTCTTCTTTCTCTCTTTTAAGCGGACAATGGCTGACAACACCGGTTTTCCGAGAGACTTCGCTTCGATCCTCAGTCCTAGGCGTTGGCTCGGCCAAAGCCAGCGGTGAAATCCGCGGTGACCCAGAATTCAAGTCCCCCCATAGGCAGAAACCGAAGGGCATGGCATGCATGGCAGACATGGCAGATCGAAGACCTTCAGGTGGTTTGGACAAAACAATTGCCAGAGTGAAGTGCGGGCCTGGCTCGCACTCGGAGGACGACCCGATCTTTTCGACCTTCCCCCGAAAGCACCAGAACCAGTTGGACAAAAGCTCCTTCCTGCTCCTCTTCCTTCCCGTCCCTGGACTTTTTCCACCCACCTGGTCTCCCCCCCGTCTGCCCAACCGGCCGCTCCGCTTCGGCTTCGCCCTCCGGACTGCTGTCCGCTCCTCTCCGCCCGTCTGAAGGGTCCCTTCTGTCGGATCCAGGACATGGAGACGTGTCTCGCGAGCCTGGACGGCCGCCCCTTCGCGCAGATCGCCGGCCTCAAGGCGCGGCATCGGAGCTGGCGATCGCTGCGCTGCACCGCACGGTTGGTCGGAGGAGACGCTCGCAATAGCTTCTCCACGCGAAGTGAACGTGGAGATGCGGAGGTGATCGAAGCTGATAAGATCAGATTTTGGGGGTGCCTTAGACTGGAAATGCATGGAATCCTGCTCAAGAGTTGGGATTGTCGAGCAAAGCCATGATATCCGAAATGGATGGTTCAGGAATCGGCTGACTTTCGGTTGACGTTTGTCATTTGCTTCGAAGCACCTGATTCCATGGGGTAGTGCAAGAGATTCCATGGCGCCCGGGCCGACCAGGCCCATGAGACATGTTTTGATCTGCGATCAAAGGTCACCACCGGACCACAAGACCAGGGGGTCGTCCACCGCCAGGTTTCTGGGAGGGTACTTCTTTTTGCCCCCGTCAATTGAGACAGGACCCGTACTTCTTTTTCGATCGAACAGTCGATGCCCCGTAAAGTAAGAATGAATGCATAAAGGAAAGTGTGCGTACTATCTATTTGGAGACCAATAAACCGTAAACGACCTTTGACGACCAAATCATCTTCTTCCACTCCGACCGTCGACCTCTCGACCGGTCGTCAGGTGGAAGGGCAGCCATGTGTCTGGTGTGGCGGAGTGTCGGGGACCCACCAACATCGAGTCACGAAGAATCGCTTCGATCGGAATCGAAAGGACGTCGTGCTAAAGCACATATGTGCGACGACTGTCCAGTCGTCGTGATTCGCGGATCAGGACGCGAGTCCTCGCGAGTCCCACTGTGCTGGGAAAATGAAGATGCCAGGAGATGTGGCATCAAGAGTCTTCTTCTTAGCTTCCTTTGGTACCTCCCAACCCAGAGCCGTCTCATCTCCAGACCAGACGACCCGCGCCCGACGTGGCTTCGAGACATCGAACGACCTCCCGCCCGACGGGTCGGTACTCCACAGCCAGACAGTCAATGTACCAGGACCCTCCGTTTTCGGGGTGCGCTGTCTGGAAGCCTATAGGTAGTATGGGGTAGTCCAGCCAGGACACCCCGAAAACGGAGGGTCCTGGTAGAGTCTGCAAAGCGAGCTTCTACCGGGTATAGGAGATGGATGCGTTACCGCCATTTTTTTCGTAGGCGACAACGCGACAGGGTTTGCGACATTCTGCGATGCAGAGATGGAATCGCTTCGAAGGCTGTGGATGGGACATGGTGCATGCATGTGCATGCCAAAGAACCTCCGAAAACTGCAAGCGATGGATGCATGATATATGAAATGCAGATTGTACATGGCTTTCGCCCCAACTGTTGGCGTCTCTTCGTTCTTCCACCGACCTGCCACCAAGCACAGTTCCGCCAAGCACCGTAGGTAGCCATCCGTGGTGGTTCCTCAAAGCACCTGCTGACTGAGGCCTTGCAACTCCAACAACGGAAACCTCTGTGAACCCTATGAGTTCGCCCTCCATGGCAAAGGCCCGAACGACCGGGAGCAGCGGAGCGGGGTGGTTTCACGACGAAAACCGGAGGAGCTGAAGCTTCGTGGTGGGGTCAACTGGCTCGAAACCGTGCTGGTGCGTCAGCATCACCTTTTTTTGGATATGGAGAAAAGAACCATCCTCGAACTTGAAATCTTCTGCAGCTTCTGGGTGGATTGTGAGGGGCTCATGGGACTCCTCATCGTTTGAGTCAAAGAAGGAGGCCATCGCTACTAGGGTGGAGGCCACAGGCCATCGCTATTGGGTTGGAGGCCATCACAATTAGGTTGGAGGCCATCGCAATTAGGTTGAAGGCCACCGCAATTAGGTTGGAGGCCATTGCTCTTAGGTTGGAGGCCATTGCTATTGGGTTGGAGGCCATCGCTATTAGGTTGGAGGCCATAGGTTGGAGGCCATCGCTATTAGGTTGGAGGCCATCGCAATCAGGTTGGAGGCCATTTCTTTTAGGTTGGAGGCAATGGCTATTAGGTTGGAGGCCATTGCTATTGGGTTGGAGGCCATCGCAATTAGATTGGAGGCCATTGCTCTTAGGTTGGAGGCCATCGCTATTAGGTTGGAGGCCATTGCTATTGGGTTGGAGGCCATTGCAATTAGGTTGGTGGCCATCGCTATTCGGTTGGAGCCCATCGCTATTAGGTTGGAGGCCATAGGTGGGAGGCCATCGCTATTAGGTTGGAGGCCATCGCAATTAGGTTGGAGGCCATCGCTATTAGGTTGGAGGCCAGCGCTATTTGGTTGGAGGCCATCGCTACCAGGTTGGAGGCCATCGCAATTTGGTTGGAGGCCATCGCTACTAGGTTGGAGGCCATCGCAATTCGGTTGGAGGCCATCGCTATTAGGTTGGAGGCCATCGCTATTAGGTTGGAGGCCATCGCTATTAGGTTGTAGGTTGGCTTTCTATTTTCGCCGCAAAGTTCGCCGTTCAGAGGCCATGCCTATGATGTGAACCACGCGGAGAATACTTACTACACGGCGGCCTGCGAGGTGGCCCCGCTTGTTGTGGGTCTACCTGGGCCCCATTGGGCCGCTGTGTTTGGGCTGGTGACTGGACACCTCGCATCACCTATTTGTTTGTTTTACAGTTTTAAACATATTCTCTAGCACGGGGAGATTGAAACTGGTGGTCAAGATGGACTTTTGGATAGGTATGTGGCTGGGCTTATAAGCTGCAGTTTCCTTCTCACGCTTGACAAACACTTTGAAGAACTGCTTCCGGGGTGGCGGTGAAGCACGAGAGAGGTCGAATAAATCGGCATTGAAGCCCGACAATGCTGATCAACAAAATAAAGGATGTATCTAAGAGGATTGTTTCTAAACAAACATGAGCAATACCAAATTTATGTTGTTGTTCATTCTTTCTTTGTTTTATCAATTTGGTCGTTCATTTTGTTTGTTTTCTCTTCATTGAAACTGTGACGAAGAAGAACTCCATCGACTCGATCGACATCGACGGTCAGGATGGACACCCGGTCAAGCACCCCATGCCGTCGGCCTTGGCGCGCGTGGGAGTGAGTTCTGTGGTGGCAGCCCGAGAGCTCCGAGTCGAGTCGAAGTGGGTGTTCTTCGGGTGGGCGTTGGAAGGTGGGCGTTGGTTGGAAGGCGGTCTTGAGCCTACTGGACTTGGTCATACAGTCATACTCTTCCTGAGGCTTTCACCAGGCAAGACTACTTGGGGTCCTTGGACCCGTGATCCACTCCGCGTTGCCACAGAGTAGAGGATGGCCGTTGAAGCCGACCGCCTGAACAGGGAGTGAGTGGATTTAATTTTCGTGAGGTGGACTGTGGCACGCCGAGTCCGATTTGGACCAGTGTGGGTTGGGGGCCACAGAGGGGTTTTTGAACACGCGCTGCTGTGTGACACCGGATGACAGTAACAGCCCAGCTGGAAAGCGGGTTCAGCGGAGTTTCGAAGAAACAGCCTCTCTGAAAATCAAACAGAGATCGAAATCTCAGACTCAGATCATCGAGTGACGTGACAGGACATCTGCAGAAAGCCTCACTTCTCAGATCAGATTGCACCTGGTATTCCTCTGATTGCGACAGAAAGATCCTTATAGATCCTCTTCGTTTCACCTCTTTGCATCCCACACCGCATCGCCGGCTCTGAGGCAAGACCTGTGGCCAGTGCCGAGTGCAGGTGGCCTTCGATCAGCAGAAGAAGTTCCAGACCTGCGACTCCTACTGCCAGGACCAAGGCCCGGTCCCACCGCACCCGGTCCCGGACCTGTCGAACCACCCCACCGGCCGCTCCGAACCGCCCTCCGTTTCAACCGCTCCGGACGTCGCTGAACTCCGCCTTTCGGCTCGAACGCGCGAACGGCCGCGTGACGGAGACGTCGAAGCGAACGAGCGAAGCACGAGACGTGCCGCGCCGCGCCAGCGAGCTGCTGCCAGCCATTGGAAACGGGGTTGGGAGGTATGAATCTGCCTCTCCGTGGCATGACACTTGGAGACCATTTAATGCTGTAAGCTTTCGAAAGGATGATGGCTCTCATGACACATCGTAGCCAAGGACGCGTGGCTGTATGCAAAAAGAGGCATGAACACGAGCTTCGTAACGATATTGGCCAATTTCCACTGGTGAACAGCTACGTGCGTGGGAATTTGTTCGGTAATGCTTAACACATGAAGCGCACGGTTCAACACGTTTACCATGCTTGGTGCAGCAGCACTGTTGCCTTCTTTTCCCTTTCCTCATCATCCTCATCATTGTCACAATAGTACAGTAAGATCACAAGCACGAGAAATCATAGTTGCTTCTGATGCACTCATATATTCTACTTCAACATTTGACGTTTCAAATCGCACCTGTCTTGCTCCCAAGCTCTCCAAGGAACACTCGCAAGATCAGCGACCCGCACCAGGAAAGGACGTTGCAGGCAACAGCGAGGAAGGCCCAACTTCTACAGGACTTCTTACACAGGCGAGGGAGAATTCCACTCTTGGGAAGGTCCAATTTTGTCGAATAGGATTGGATTGTCAGGATTTAAGCGCTTTGAAGACGCACCCGGGGTGCCGAGTGTCCTGACATTTGAATGTGCCTCGAGAAAACCTGAAACACGCCAGGCATGGCTTCAGCGATTCGAACTCCCCACGTGGTGTGGGCGGCTGTCCCCACGGCCATGCTCCGAAGGTGAAAATGGAATATGCCATGCCTCTCCACGTGGCCGCGCAGCTCGGCGACCAGGACGGGGTGGACGGGGTGTGACAGAAACGGAGCAGTGACTCACCTTTTTGTTTTTTGTAGGTAAGGAGAAAGAATGCTTAAACATCTTTTTTGCCGGCTTACGGCTTAATAAGCAAAGCATGGGCACCTGATAGCTTTGTGCGCAAGTGGGCAAACACAGACTTTCTTAAGCCGAAGGGTCCCGCCTCATGAATGCAAGAACACGACAGGAAGAACCCTCCTGCTTGAAAAACGCTCTCTCTCTCTCTCTCGCGGTGCGGGCTTGGCATCGCGTGCGTCGCTCTCTCGCATTCTGCGCTGTTTCAGGAGATCGTTCAGCTCCTCCTGAAGTCTGGCGCCGATGCGTTGGCCACCACGGGAGGAGGGACCGCCTTGGAGATCGCTGAAGAGATGAATTGTGACGGATCCCACCGTGGTGTGATCCTGTTGTTGCGCGAGTCCTTGAAGATGCATTCGGTCTGTTTGTAGCACGCTGCCCGCGGGGATTTTCACCGGGTGGTAGATGAGATTGACGGACTCCTTCAGAGATCAAGAACACCATTCCAGGACCAATCCTGGAGTTGTTGGGGCAGAGGGGATGTCGTGGCCAGGGTGACACAAGGGTCGTCTCCCAGGGGGCCAGATTTAAGTTTGCTGCTTGCAGCTGCTACCCGCAGCATGCGTTGCTGACTACGCGCAGAGTCGGGTTTGATTTTATACGTTGCTGATAGCAGATCAGCAACGTGCTGACTCGACTTGCCTCCTGAAGAGGAGGTTTGCAATCCGGGCGACCCCTAGTTAGTTGAAGCCATACGACCCGTAGTCGCGCCGAAGGTTGTATCCAATTGGGTAAACACATTGCCTTTTGCTTGTCATGCAAGGTTTCGTTAGCGCTTGCGGCAAGAACACTTGGGGTCGCCTAAACATCATCCCAGAGCTTAGTGCTTCCAGGAGAATGTTGGTTGGAGAAGGATTCGGGAGCCCAGTCCACCGAGTGGTAAATTGGACCATCACTTTGTTGTTTCTGGAGTTTCCGGAGGCGGTTGCACGTTGCAGCCCACACGGAATGATCTCCATTTTCATGCCTCCCGACGAAACAAGTACCAACTGCACCCCAAACGGTTTTTATGCTCTCCTAGCAGGATCAATTTATACAAAAAAGCCAAGAACCTGCATTCTTTTGGTCTGCCGGTTCACCAACTAATTATCTTGGAAGCAGAAATATAAGTACCCCACAAAAGACCTGCACAGATGGGGAGTACCAGAGATCAAGCCCCCCGACCACGTTGGACTGAGCCAAGAACCTGCATGACGTCTGGTTGGACCGCACGGGTCGCCGGAGATCGTCTAGACCATTGCTTTTCCCCCCGGCCTTTTTCCGCCTCCCTGTCGCAGGGCAGGGACTCCTCGGGCTGGCGCAGTGCGAACAAAAAGAGCCGGGCGACCAGTCGGACGACCCAAAGGGGCGCAGCTGGTGGAACCTCGAATGTCATGCAGCCCCTCCAACAGAGCGAACTCGAGTTCGACCCAGTGCTCCAACATCAGGTTCTCTGTCAAGCTCTGACAGGTCGTACGAACGAGTCAATTCGGCCTTCCTTCTCCCCCACGCGGCAGGTCTGACTTGTGAGAAGGCCTTCACTTCCTATTTGCATTCCTGCGACGTGAAGCCACAAGCTCAGCAGATGTTTTTCAGAGCAGCTGCCTGCCTTCAGCGAGTCGCAGCTGCCGAAAGATGTGGGTTCTGTAGAACGGGATGTTGCTTCAGCGACCACGACGTGAATCTGAAGGGGGAGGAGATCTGAACACCTAGCCTAGCTGCTGTCACTATTGGTGCAACATCTTAGACATCAATGAATCAAAAAACCGGCCCCACGAAGCATCCACTCGCTGCACGGGCAGAAACTCGTTTCTCCAAGTTTGTTGGACTCACCTGAGACTGACCCTTCACATGTTTTTGGGTTTCTTTTTCCTTTCAACATCTGCGGAAAAAAACAAGGACGGAATCCATTTTCCCTTTTCCCACGATTTGGTATTCCAAAAACCTCCTCGCGGAGCCCACACGCGGGCTCGCGGCACTCGCCTGGGCTCGCCGTTCGCAGGTCCACGGTGAGCTGCTCGGCGCACTTCGACGCCTCGGCGGTTCTGTGTCAATGTCAGCCCAAGCAGGTGCTTCTCCGGCGCGCATGGCGCGGCGCTTCGTTACACGTTCGGTGTCTTTTTTTTTCGAAGACGTGTCACACTGTGGGTTTGGAGAAGAAATCGTGTGTCAAGTGGTCAGCGACCGAGTGGTACCAGTGAGATGTGTTTCTCGGGACGACCCCTTGGAACGATCTTGGGACCGCATTTTAGTCCAGAAGCTTTCAACAGGCCTGCGAAATGGCCACAGAGAGCATGAACAGGTTTCACAAACACAGACGCAGACACACACACACACACACACACTCGCACATGTGGGCTATACTTGGGTGAAACACATAGGGAGGCCTTGCTTGATCACCAAATGAAATAGACTATCTTAGAGTGACTGGAAGTGGATATGATTTTGGGGTCGGTGAATAGACTTACCACCCAGGTTGACCGGAGCAAGGAATGCTGCTGTTCTGCTGCTGTGTGGCGTGTGGGACTGATGGCCAGGCGCTGCAGGCCGTCTATGGACAGTGCGGTGGGAAGCACTGGAAGGGCTACACCCTTTGCGAGGCCGCGCTATGGTGGGCGCTGGGATTGGGAAGTGCCCTCGACACGAATCGCTATGGTGGGACGGTGTGCGCTATTTGAATTGGAGATTTGGTGCTGATGAGCTACCTGGGTTTGTTGTCACCCCAAAAGTGTAGCACGTCCATGTTCCTGTTGCCCACTCCATGGCCGAAACAACCCGCGCCGTCAACTTACAGGTGCCGTCAACCAACAAAACTGTCATCCACCCAACCCAACCCAACCCACCCTCCACATGTTGGGAGGGTCCTCCACACCGCCTTCGATGTTCCACACAGATTTGTTTGTCGCGAATGCGCCTGTGAGGCTGGGGCAGTGTGCAATGCCCGAGTCAAAGAGTGAAGGGAGTGGGGGAAGGGAAGTTCCACGGAGGGGGCACAGCGGAATCTCCTATGCGTTCCTTTTAACATGATTGGCTCTGTTTTGCTCCAAAGAGAACTGAAGCATTTGGCACACTAGGGGAGCTACTTCACCCATCCTGCACAACAGATCATGTCGGACACCAAACAATCAGCTGGACATAGCCGGAGAAAAAGGGACGCCTTTTGCACTTCGGAGCAAGGTGGTGGATGGTGCAGGTGAAGCAGAAGATCTCTACTCCATCCTGGGTACATGTAGCAGACGTTCACGTGGGTCGTCCGAGACATAGGACCAGACATTCCGGTCGCTTCAAACCGATCCGATCCGCACTCATTTCTCATCAAACCCCGATGGTGACGCTGAAAAGCATGAAGATTGAAGAAGATTGAAGAAGCCATGCCGCCGACCCACATGAGGACAGCCAAGAAGAGCGCGCCCGCCAAGCCAAGCCGTTTTCTCCCGCCAGCGCGTTCTTCTGAGGTGGTGACTGAGGAGTTCTCCCAATGCGTACCAGCCAACACCGTAGGGTGGCCCAATCTTCCGAAGCGAAAAAGGGAAGTGACCAGCTCGGAAGGCCCAGTCAGTCATGGTAGGTGCATGGGATTGCTGATTGCTTTCTTTTTTTTTCAAGAGATCATGCTCTTCCAAGCCATTTTCACCTGACCACTCAAGTGTAGTGCTTCTTCCGAACGAAACTCTCCAACGTACCATATGCCAGCACACCTTCGCGCCTTCCCATACCATCCGAAAGAAACATGACAGATCTACAAACTACATACACACAAAACACACAAACGAACAAACACACAAAAACACACCCAGGAAACAGAAAAGCAAAAAGCATCCTCGCCTCAAGCCCGGTTGGGTCCGTTAATTTGTCCCTCTTCCTTTGGCGAAGCCGTTCCGCCCCGTTGCGCCGGTCGTCACGCAAAAAAAAAACACAGAAGAGAAAACACACCAAGACGGGAGAGAAAAGCCAACAGCATCCCCTGCCGAAAAGGCCCCGTTTGGGTCCGTTGAAGGTCTCCCTCTTCGTTCGGCTTCTCCACGCCCTTCAGGCCAAGGCGGGCGTGCGCGCCTACGCCTTGGAAAGCCCGGCCGATTCGACGCTGAGCGTCCGGGGACCACGGTTGGTGTGGGGGGGGGAGGTTTGGGTGAAGCAAGCGAAGGAGGCGTCTCTTTTAAGGGTGAAGAGCTTGGGGTGAGTTGGACGTGGATCTTCTTTGGAAGAAGGTCTCTAACAGCTTCGAAGCTTTTAGAAGTTTGGAGGTTGGTGAAAGACATTCAGGAAGGAGAGCTTGGAATTCCAAAAAGCTCGCGCACGAGCCAGAGTCAAGTTGAATGTACGCCTTCAGCAATTTCATGGACATCGAAGATAGGAAGGAGAGTCATGACTCTCACCGCATCCCATCGCTGTCCCGCTGTCCCATCGCCCATCTTGGCGCTTTGGATCGCCCCTGGCTGGGGGTAGGCTGGTCGACATGTCCCCAACCACACCCGGGTCGGAACGCAAATCGGTCTCCCGAAGATGTTCATCCACGACCCTGTAGTTGTGGCCGTCCTTGCTCGTGCTACTGGTGTCTCAATCACATCCTGACAGTCCACCAACCAGTCATTGGACCTCAGGCGGCAGCTCCTTCCTTGGAGGCAGAACTGTTTCGATGGTGGGTGGGAGGGCCACTCGTGGCTGGTTGGTGCATCACTACGGCACTCTTGGTTGAAGACGTGGACTCCAGCTCACCGCCGTGCTGACCGCTGTGACCTTCAGGCTGAGCTGGGTGCTTCGCCGCCTCCTCTAGGCCGAGCCGGAGGGGCTGTTGGATGAACGCCTTGGGTGTCCAACGGCACCCAGAATGTTCTTCTTCTTTGGGTGGGAGGGACATGAGTAGTAGTACATCAGAATGACGCAGTGATGGTTCTGAACGCCAAGAGGTCGTTGTAAACCTGGCTTTGCTTAAGGCCCCTTTTTTTAAACCCTATGGTTAAGTATTTTTTAACTCCCTTCTGGGGATTTTTTCCAGGTTCCTCATGCAAATTCAAGTAAAGCGGCTGCGACAAAACCACCTGGATGCCAGAGCCCGTGCCAACTAAGAGGTCAGGTCTCAGCAAGATATGCAACGCCTTACAAGGTTGATCAACAAGCGCTGACGCATTGCCCTGCGTAGCGTATGGGCCGTTCACAGAGAGTGAGTGAGACTACCCGCCTTCCCCTGCGCCCGAGACGGGCCCGAAACGGGACCTGACCACACCCGAAAAAGCACCTCGACGGACTCCTGAGCGACGCGGACGACGCGGCGCGGACGCGCTGGTGTTGGGGGGGGTGTTCCGCTGTGTTTCAGCGGGGGATGATCCGCGAAGTTCCGGGGTATGACGGTCGCGGGGTCAGGCTCCAACATCCTGTTATGGTGCATCTCTTTAGGGCCTTAGGGGTTTCTTCAAACAGTCCTGCAGTTTGAAGAGACTGATCGTTCTGGATCCCTTTTGCAGATTCACCCAAAGAAGCCTAGCTAGGACTTCTCCTTCCTTTAGACACGCTATGTATGGGATAAGATGCGATAAGGTTCACAAGACACTTTTCAAGGCAACATGCAGAAGCTGAGCACTTCTTGACTTTGGCATCTTGAGCCATACCCACTTGCCACACGTTTTCCTGCTGACAAAATTATGCTCCTGGGCCATCAAGGGAAAAGAAGCCGGAAGACATTTGCATGCGAACTCTAGCCGTTGCGGAACTCAAGCCATGCTTGCCAAGAGATTT